AATGTGAAGTGACCAAGACAAGTGTTCATCCAGGATCACTCCAAGAAAAAGTACCTATCTGTGCGATGTAGTTCATGATCGTTTATATACAGCGGCAAACTAGTAATTTGTCTCTTTTGCCGTGGTCTAAAAATAATATAATTTGGCTTCTTTATATTTAAAGATAGCTTATTGGCTTTAAACCAATCAGATAACTTAAGAAACTTTATATTGACGATGTTGGTCAAGTTAGATAGATCACGATGAAAAAAAATAGATTGGTATCGTCAGCAAATAAGACCAATTCCAAGGCATCTGAGACATTGCAAATATCATTAATATATATCAGAAATAGCAATGGCCCAAGTACGGACCCTTGAGGTATACTCCACATCTTATTGTATTAAACGAGGACGTTACGTACCCCATTGCATTCAACATATTTTTGTCTGTTTGAAAAATAATTTCTTAGCCAATTAAATGCAAGGCCACGAATTCCATAATGATTGAGTTTTTCGAAGAGAATTTCATGATTAATAGTATCAAATGCCTTTGAGAGGTCTAAAAAAATCCCCACTGCATAACTGAGGTAGCTATATATAAATGTTTTAGTATATGCACTCGGAATGGCGTCAGTTTGTATACCATGTGTTTTACTCTTTAATATCGTGAATATTCTATAGATAGATGTATAGTATCAATCTCGTTCTCCGAGCATGCCCGTTCGCAGGTTAGGACCCATCCCTAACCTGCGAACGGGCATGCACGGGGAACGATATTGGTATATTATTGCATGTGCGTGGATGTAGGCCACCTTATAAGATACATGCAGGAAACATTAATATGCTACAAATGTTTCGCTACTCGTGGTTGTATAAGGAAATAATTAATAAATTTAATTCCTGAACAAATTCCATTCATGGTCTCAAACGCGTTGAGCGGACGCTTTGAGAACTCAATTATTATGTAGCTAAATTCGCAAGTCACTGCCCCAGGTAGACAGAAGTGTCGAAACGTTGTGTACACAAATCAGAATGAGTAGGAAAACAGGTCACTGGCCTTGGCCTACATTTTGACAGTGTAAACAGACTTTGGCCTAGTCTTGGCCTGACATAGGCCAGGAAATCTGGGCTCACTACAACCGGTGGCCTAGGCTTGTGGAAATGTAAACACTTTCGGAGCTGGCCTGGGCCTTATTTTCACGGCAACGTGTGTCCGCATTAAGAGATTAGCGGACAACCAGCGGACAACGTCACAACACATAAAAATACACAAAATTAATTACAAAATTCTAGGCCAAAGTGAGCCAGTCTCAAAAAATAGTGTAATGGTGTAAACGCGCCACATTTACCTTGGGCTAGGCCAAAGCTAAGCCAAGGCTTGTAGTGTAAACACGACTTATGATGATACCTAGTTGATATCCACATGTATATGGTTTCATAAGTTTCATACGAATAATATTGTAACAAATATCCCTAGTTACTACATACCTATACTGTAATAAGCATAGTATTCCTGTAATACTTTTACAATATGGATTATGGTACCAGCTGTACTGTTGTATTCGTCAAAATTCACCAAAATCGAGAAGCAGAGAGGCCGGATGACACAGATTCTAGTTCTATTCCCTTGTTTGATGTTTGCCACAATTAATTAATTCTTCCGCTTTCAAAAAGCGTTGAATTTCCGAATCTAAATTGTTACGTGATCATATAGTCTTCAAACTGCCGACACGCAACTCTTATTTATACGTACATGATCATTCGGTTACGCAGATCGACCTGTATCTCACTTAACGACAACGAAATACGCCAGAAATTTTGGCTACGAAATAATTTTATTCAATTTTGGCATAGTTGGTTGCACATCTTAATTTCATTCACTTATTCAAATTTTCATAGTCTACGCCATGAATGGCATATTTCAAGTCAGGGTTGTAACCAGATTATTTTTTTCAGCGAGCATGTCACACTGAGCCAATATGTTAAAACAACCAACCAGCCCAGTGCTCGTATGATATAATGATTTCAGGTAGAGGACTCTCAGATACACGTCAACATAGCCTGATTTCCGCTTGAAGCAAGTACTAGCAACTAATCAGTCTAATCTCTTGCAGTCTTGTGAATTTAAAGACAATGAGTAAACAAAGAAATCGCGTTGTCTTTCATTCAGTGAAAGACATCGCGATATTTTTGTTGGTGAATAGAGACCTTACGATTTGGGGACGCCAATGTGACGGCAACGGCTACCAATACAGGGTGTCCCCAAAAAAGTGACACTATAGAAATTATCTCATTGTTCTTAAGCCGCTCTTAAACGCGCGTGATTACACGCCTGGGAATTTATTTTACAAGTTTTATTTTACAAGTTTGCCATTGCAATAGATCTATATAGAGTACTATGGTTACAAATGACTGGAATTTCCACACAGAGATAGTTCTCCAATAACGGGGTTCCAGAAAATAACAACTAATGGTATATCTAATTATTTTGAAGTTAAAGCAAACATAACAATTAAACACAAATACAAGAAGACAAAGCAAACGTATTGACGAACAAACGAACAAAAACTAAATTTAGCAACATGTTCGAGTTGATAAGTTCATTACTGGGCGAGTGGTGTGACATTTAATACACACAGACTTAATTAACTGTTCTTGGATTTTCAGGGTCATAAATTTGTTGGGTTAACGCTACGTAGTATTTCATTAGATTACATTTAAATGCAGTTAACGTTAGAGATGTGGTGGTATTTCTTATGAAGCCGGGAAGCGTGTTCCATACATTAGCAGCTCTGATGTAAAAGCTGTTTTGAAAAGAAACAGTTTTACTTTTGGTTACATGCATGAAGTAGGATGCCGTTAGTTGAACTAGTATTCCTTGTTTGTCGTGTAGGGATCTTTATAGATATGTTATTGTCAGAGTTATTTATAAGGCATTTGTGAAGATAGACCATATCTAAATACTCATGCCAGTAACATAAAGGGAGGATTTCGATGGTAGCCAATCGTTTCTTATACGGGATAGATATTTTGTACCGGAGCGAAAGAATAAATTTTGATGCACGTCGCTGCAACCGTTCGATCGTTAGGATGTTGACGTTGATGTATATTGGTTGATGTTGTTGTTACTATTCTATTAGTTACTTATACTATATGTCTATGTACTATGCCTATACATATGATCGTTCGTGTTCTTTCCATATGGTCGTAATAATGGACGTAAAATAGAGTCACAATCTTTCTCAACGGCAATTTATAATAGTTTATACCTGTAAACCACATAAAAATCACAAGTATTCTCTAGTTATAATCACTCCGCGTATCTTCAGTTCTAAAATGTGTATTTCGCCTGTTGAGAAAAATCGTGACTCAATCTTTACGACCGTTACGACCATATGGAAACCAGACTTTACCTATAAAGAGGAAAGGTACAGTGTATACTAACGTGTCTTCGGTATGTTTCAGTAATTTGCATATTTACCCTTGAAATGCGGTTCCACTGTAGTTTTGGAGCTATCCTAAATTTACTATGATGACTGATGTATATCTTGTAAAATACGGGCATATCATTCAGCTTAAGGAAATAAATTTAACCCTGAACAAATTTCATTCACGTTCACAAATTTCATGTTCACAAATGCTCGAGACTCTCTGAGGCGTTTGTCTTCCAATGGGGGTGATCTAAAATCGCAAGTCACCGCCCCAAATGAACACACTATTCTAGACTGGATATCATCCACAGATTATAAAGGGATTACATTTATTTAGTACGCAAACCAGAGACATAGTAAGGAACATGTTTGATATTATATCTGGTTGCAATGAAATTTAATGCGTATGATTTCATAACATCAATAGTCTATTATAAAAAAATATGACATATAGTTACATACCTGCTACAAGTAGTATTCCTGTAAAATTGGCCACTAAAAGCGCTATAATGTCGTGTGTTGTCTTGTATGGTGTAAAGTTCTTCCGGCTTTGATAACTGATTGAAAATTGATATGCAAATATGAAACACATTGCCTGCCTCCTGAGTCCTGTGGATAGATTCCTAAAGTTATGATTAATTCATCTAGTTGGATAACTTCAGTTGGTGTTTTCCCCTCGATTTGTTCGTGACTAATTTGCATGCATGTTTGTGTTTTGTATGTCAGCTGAAAACAGTTTAATACGAAAATAAATGAAAATGTGCGGAACAAATGGCCATTAGACAAGGGATCAAATTATCAGGATGAGTACTGTATGTATAGGTTATAATAGCTCTAAAAACACAAATGAAATGACCTTTTTCTTTTATTTTTGTGACTTCGTCGTAGTTTAATTTGAGTGTACTCGTATTGAAACTGAGTACTATAGGTTATTCTTTCATCACTGGTGAACAGCATAACCTTTAACCGGTTATCTAGTTATCACCTGGCGCCTTTACCCTTGTGCATGATGAGCGATGTGCACCATATAAACAAAGACATCAAGAGCAGCCATGCAAAAAACTAGCTAGTTTACCGATGCTCTGGGTATTTATTGCCACTAGTGAGTCAATTAATCTTCCAGGCTAATTTCATTTGATCATAAACGAATCTAGTCCCAAACATTACTCAAACACCCGGAAAACAAAAAATATATACCATGGGCGATCCATTCTTATATATTGAACTCTAATGACCCACAGTTGAATAAAAAACCTCTTTCTTGGCCCTTAACCCAGCTGGCCTCCTCTATAAAGGTTACTGTGGTAGTCTGGTTATTGTAGTTTTACAAAAACTGTCACAGGTGACCCTATTCTGGTGACGCCTGTAAAGGAGGCTGGCTTGAACCTATATATATATGGATATAATATTCCAGATTCAAGTTAAAAATTGGTAGTTGTCCTCCACATCTCTGGTTTTGTTTAACCCAGTGTAAGTTGCCTCCTCGTCATTTGCGACATTCACTCTTAATGATTGATAATTATCTTCTGTGTTCAATTTTGAAAGATCAAGCTCTTGATAAGTTGTATCAACTTCAGTTGTCTGTGGTTCAGGGTTTGGCTGAGGTTCTTAAATTTACTTCTAAATTTACGACGAGAACAAAAGACAATGTAGGAAAGAAGAATTCCAATGATAATCCCAGACACCAATATTCCAATATTCCCACAACCATATACCATTCAGTTCCACTGCCATTACATTTTTCTAAAGCTGCTTTTCCTGAAAATTAAGGAGCCAGTTACAGATATGGGCTTACCAATTTTCTAAACAATCTGTTTGTATACGTACTGTACTGCATGCATGGGTGTCTCAAAAAAGTTTAAAGGAAAACAAATATTATACTTTCTGAACCATGTTAGGAAAGAAAACCACTTTACCTGCTCCAAAATCCTTACTGGAAATGAAATCACATTGTTAAGAGTCTGCTATAGTTCTGCTCTATTTACCTAGTTACATTTTAAGCTTGATGGACTACAGTATATTACTTTTTAAAGGCACAATCATAGAAAAGATTGTATATGTCATAGTTACCTCCGACAGACAAACTGAATGCCTTTGAACTATTTCCAAGTATACTTGTTGCAATACATTTATATGACCCAGCATGACTATATTCAAGAACAGTTATTATATACGTCTTGTGAGTACTGACGATCTCAGTGTCGTTATGGATTATAGTATAACTTGGTAAAGGCACAGCTATAGCTTCACACGTTATCACAACTGATTCACCAAATACAACAATTTCCGGAGTCGACGTAAGGCTTATCACTGTAGGTGGATCTGCATCTATGATAAAAACACAAACTCTTTATAACTAAATGATAAAATTTTTATTTTCACTGATAAGGATCTGGGGCTCGCTGATAGGAAGCTTTGCACGCCTTTATTCATTGTAAATACTGAGATAGCCGAATTGTTTAGGCTTTCAGCCAATATGCATGTATAGCCAAAGGATTTCAGTGCTGATATAGGTATAATTAAGCATTTTCGGCATTATAAGGTGCATACTCCTATCATTTGAAATATATTCTAACAAGAATTTTGAAATAAATTACATGTATTGCTTTTTGAAGTTTTGTTAATATTACTTAAGCTTGCGTGCTAGTACTTTTCAAGTACCGACCAATCTAAGAAAACATGGTCATGAATATGAAACTGTTTGACACAACTGAGTCTGCAAATAATTAACACTACAATTTAAAGGGAAATGGCAATATATGTTTTTATTTTCTCATTTGAAAGAACTTTTCAAGACTATATATAAAATACTCTTTTACAGTTTTTTCATATCTTGCTTACTTATGAAACGTCTGCCATCTTCAATTTTTGTAGATATGCATGTCACGTCACGTCACAACACAACACAACACAACACAACACAACACAACACAACACAACACAACACAACAGGGGTCACGCAAATATTTTTTATCTTAGTAGACAAACACTAATCACACAATGTCAGTGTTTATTGCAGATGACCTAATCGAGACTCGAAAGCAAAAATTGTGCAAACAATACTACCAGCTTTTCCTTTCCGTGTAATAAAATGGACAAAGAAAATGTGTCTAAAAATCTAATCTTACCATGAAAGGTTAAATAAGCGAAAGCTGAATCACTTCCAAGTTTATTCCCTGCAATGCACCTATATGTTCCAGCATCACTCCACTTCACTTTAGGTATGGTATACATCTTGCCAGCACTGAGCGTAATACCATTATGGGTTATTGTATAATTTGGTTCAGGATGACCTTCAGAGTTACACGTTATGGTAACTGGGCTACCAAGTACACCTTCTTGTGTAATTGTAATCTTTGTGTTTTCAGGTTTGACTGTGAAAAACGAGAAACGTCTTGTTACTAATGAAAATATAGGCAAATAGTTTTTGTGTTTGAAAGTATTAATAAAAATACATACACTCAAGGTATATTTACCAGCTGCATGGGAGGTTCGTACTGGTGGATATATTTTGCTGTGGTCTCAGAAGTCTAGGGATGCACCCGAGAAAAAAATTTAAGCGAACTTAAGTAACGCTTTATCTAGTACGGGGACGTGATGAAAGTCAAGCCACGTTTACACTACGCTCAATTTTTGGTACGGCACGGATCAAATTGGTACCCATACCACTTTTTTGGTTCTTGGACTACCTATTTAGATAGTTACAACGGAAAAAACTATGAACTATCGCGTTGTGAACAAAAATGGAGAGGTGGAGACCTTACAGCGACTGTCTATTCCTGGCGTTCCAGTAAGCATTGCTTTTGCAGTTTGCAAATATTTTTCAAGTCTGGTCCAACCTAAAAAACATGGTCATGAATACGAAAATTTACAAGCACATAAAGAAAACCTATACTAATCAGTAAAAATATACACTTTTCTCAAGATTATGGTAGCTGCAAAGCCAACGAAACTGGGGTTTGGGCGTTCACAGGCGTTGAAGAAATATTGCCGGTAATAAATTGCGTGTTGACTTGTTTTGTCAATCACAAACACTGCAGAAGTGTCTAATATGTATATAAAAAATGTGTCTAAAAATCTAATCTTACCATGAAAGGTTAAATAAGCGAAAGCTGAATCCCTTCCAAGTTTATTCTCCGCAATGCATTTATATGTTCCAGCATCACTCCACTTTACTTTAGGTATGGTATACATCTTGCCAGTACTGAGCATGGTACCATTATGGGTTATGGTATAACTTGGTTCCGGAAGACCATTAGATTCACACATTACGGCAACATTTCCACCAACAACAGCGGGATTCTTTGTAAACGTAACGCCTGTATTGTTAGGTTTGACTGTGAAGAAACAAAAACTCTTTGTTACTAATGAGAATATAGGCAAATGATTGCTTTTTTCTGAAAAATATTATTCAGTAGTAATAAGAGTAAATATATATACATGTACT